AGCAGGAGAGGTCTCACCCAAAAACACCCCCCGAGCTTTCCAAAGGCCACTGGTGGTGCTGTCAAAGCCAGCTGCTTTGGGGAATTCCAGCGGGGATCTGGGAAAAATGGAGCTGCTGATGTGACACCGAGTGACTGGCTTGGGCCAGCATGGGACTGACACCCTGAGGTGACACGAAGGGACTGGCTTGGGCCAGCATGGGGCTGACACCCTGACGTGACATCAACTTCTCCCTTCAAGGGAGAATTCCCTGTGCTGTGCCCAGCCACCATGAGACACTTGTTATTCCTGGAGTGAGGCAAGTTTCACAATGAAGCTGGAATCAGGCAGGCTCTGGCTAATGAAAATCCATTTGACTCCAAATCACATTCTTTTCTGCATCAAAGCACCTTAATAAGTTTATTTAAGTATGTACTTAACCCCCATCAAAGAGATATGCTGAAAACCTGAAGTAAGAGATCAGTTCCATGTCTCCCTTTCTTTCCAAGAGAAACTAACAACTGATTTACCTTTTTAACACTGAAATTCTGCTGCCCATTTCCTAAAATGACATGTGGGTTTTGACACCGATTTTCTTTTTAGTCTGTTAATCACTTATCCTCAGGACTCTTGCTACTCTGAGTGCATACAGACTTCAGTGGGGATTTATCCTTTATGGAACCCCAGTGAAATAATTACACCCTCGAATTCCATGAACCCAGACACACTGTGCTGCCTTTTAATGACAAGAAAAATCTCTGCTGGTGAGCACTGGCAGGAGCAGGAGGAGCCCAGCAGCAGCTCCAGCAATCCTAGTCACTTGTCCCCAAGAGGAATTTATTTTATTTAACGCATAGAACAGCATTAACTTCTCCCTGTCCCCAGCCAAAGCAAGGTCAGGCCAAGAACAGACTTCCAGAATTTTTTGAGAAAACCACTGAGCTGCTGTGTGGTAGATCTGCTGTGTCCACGCAGGGGGAGAGGAGAGGGGGATGCTGGGGCTGATCCAATGACAAGGGACTTGCTGCAGAGCCATTCCTGGGTGACACGGGGCACTGACAATGTGCTGTTTGCAACCAGAGGCAACAAGATGCAAAGCAAACACAAAGCAGCATTTAGCCCAAAGGGACATTCCATTGTCACGGTCTCTGGTCACATCTGTGTCACCACAATGTCACTGATCCTTTGTCCATCCTTCCAGCACCCAGCTCCAGTGGGTCCAGAGCCCTGCACAGGGACCAGGACAAACTTCCCCAGGGAACGAGGACAAGGTGAGGTCTTGGCTCAAGACCTTTGTCCTCTTCAGCTGAGGACAAGGATGGATTCAGGGAGGGGACACAGGAATAGTGGGACTGCACCCACTGTGGCTGGGGAAGGAGGGGGAGAGTTTATCAGCAGCCTCAAAGAGCTTCCTGTGGAAAAAAGCAAGTATTTGTACAAAAAAGAGGAGTTGTAAGGAAAAATGTTGGAAGAGGAAATGCACTGTGTGAGTGGGGTGAGCAGCAGCAGCAGGGACAGCCCAGAGCTCAGCAGGGACAGCCCAGAGCTCAGCAGGGACAGCTGCAGTTGTATAAAGCAGCTGCTTTCCACACTGGCATTAACAGAAGCAGCAAAGGTTTCTATACTGTAATAGCTGCAGTGCCAGCACTAAACAGAGACAGCCCTGGACGTGCTGAGAAAGGAGTCACTGAAAAAAATACTGAATGGTTTGGGTTGGACCTTAATGACCATCTCACCAGAAAAAAAAAAAATCCTATAGAAAAAAACCCAAACAAAAAGAAAAACCCACACAAAAAACCCCACCACCAAGTCAAAAACCAACAACAGGCCAAAACCCAAACAAACAAAAACCCTACAAACACAAAAACAAACAAAAAGCACTCTCCCCCTGCAGGATGACAAACCCAAAGAGCATCAAATGCTGGGGCAGCCCAAAGTGAAACTACTCATCCCCATTGCAGATAAAACAGTAACTGAGCAGCAGTGAATGAGAGGCAGGTCAGACACGAGGGCAGCGTTGGTTTAACTCCTGCCAGGACAAACACAAAGTTCCCCTTGTGGTAAGGCCCCACAGGTCACCCCACACTGAGCACCAGGGCACAGCATCCCGAGGCACAGCACTCTACCTTCTTTCTCCTCTTTGGCATCAACGACCTGAGAGTCAGACCATCTGTCCATGACCTCCCTGCACACATCGTTCAAGAGATCTTCTTCCTAGGAAGGGAAAAGAGACTCCTCAGTCTTGGAACAGAGTTTGCTGCTTGAAACCAGCACCAGGCAGACCGCAAAAGCCCTGGCTGCAAAGGCTCTGCATGCCCAACAGTCAGCTCAGGAATATGGCTTTTCCCCCCAAATCTGCTTGTTAAACACACACAGGACTCTGGTTACCCTGGAACGACACACAATGACACCATGTCTGGTCACTGTGCACATGAACGCTGTGCCCAGCCAAGGAGGCCATGGTGGATCTTCGCTCCCAAATCCTCCTGCCCAGCATCCTCTCTCTTCCTGAGCAGGGCCACAGGGAAGTGCTCAGTGCCACCTCCATGCTAAGCTCACTACAGGGAAGAAATTACACTGGACAAATCGTGGGTGAGGGCCAGTCACCACAGAGCTGAAACCACTGTGGTGGTACTGACAGACCATCACCTCCACCAGCAGGGACACTCTGCTCCCCTTTAACCTGCCTGGAACATTAAACACAACCTAGAGGAGGCAGTGGGACACATCCACACTGCTCCAACATGGACCTCCAGGGCTGCAGGGGCACAGCTGCCTCACCCTGGTCTTCCCCATGGAATCCCAGAGGAATCTCAGCCCTGGTGCCTGGAGCAGCTCCTGCCCCTCCCATCTCGCTGGCCCTGGTGCTGTTCCTCTCACATGTTCTCACTCCTCTCTCCAYCTGTGCTTCTGCAGGTGGTTGGGTTTTTTTCCCCTGCTTAAATTTGTTACTGGAAGGTGCTGAATGTCTTGAAGCTGACTGGCATTTGCTGCATGGGACAGCCAAGCACCACTGATGGGGGGTCACAGAGCTCAGGGGACAGCACCAAATAGTTTCAAACAAACAAGAAATTATCTTGATTTGGAGTTCAGTAAAAACAGAGAAAAATTAGCCACAGAGCATACAAGTGAAGCAGATTCTCTCTGGTTTAAAGAGAAGAACTGGACAGAAACAGTTTTAAGTTTCTTAGTTAGAAATGGTGACATCTGAATAAATTCATTCACTAGTGCATGACATAATCAGGACTGAGGAACCATGGACATGAGAGCAGATGTCACCTTATTTTAATAAGATTTGTGAAATACAAACAAGTAAACAAAAAACAAAAAAAAAACCCTGTAATTTGTGTACAGAACTAGGAGAAAAGACTTGGCAAAGAAAGTGCCAAATTCACTAAATTAAAGATTGTTTCAAAAGTCAATATAGAAATAAGCACAGAATCTAAAATAAAGGGAAAAAAAAGAAATTAAAAAAGAACAGACTATGAAGAGTAATTATAAAGTCTGAAGGTTCAAGAGACGAAAATGTTTTACAGGAATGGCAGAAAAATCAAACTGGAAACTGCAAATGAGGCTCAACTCAGCTGTGACTGTGGCATAGAGGGAACAGGCTGTGGTGTGACAGGGACAGCCCAGGACTCCGGGGACATGGGAACCCCACAGGTGCTCAGTCCTGGCAGCTGCAACACAGAAGGGAACTCAGCACTGAGGAGAAAAGGGGAAACAGCAGAAAATCAGGGATGAGTATCAGGGATGGGGTCAGTGGCAGGGCTAGCCAGCACTGCTCACACAGGACACACTCCCCAGGCCTGGACACGGTTAGGCACAGTCACAGTGATGGAATGAAGTCTGGTAATTACAGGGAAGTTAATTAACCTCGGCTACTGCACAGCATCACAGATGTCTGGCTCTATCCCTCACACTGGCAGGATGCACCCTTTGCTTCTCTGCCTCTTTTAGGCTCAAAGCTGAACTGCTATACTTGAACGAGCTCACTGCTGGCACCCCAGGGTGGGGAGGGGACAGGGACATCAGGGGAGGACGCTGTGACTTTTAGGAAACCCTTCTGGAATGGCACAGTCCGTGTACAGAAGGCATGGTGTCATACAATGACAAAAAGCTGATTGTACCCACCCAGTCCCTCTGGGTGCTGTGCTCCCACACTGATATTTTGGGAGGAAATCAGCGACAGCCACTGAGCCGACAGTCACCAACACCAGCACCACTCATGATTTAACATTTTACACTATGAAACACCCATTGATAAAAAATCCCGAGACACAGACACTGGAGAAATCACACAAGGAGGATTATCGAAGAGAAATCCTTTCCTGCACTCTGCTGACTCCCAGGAATTTGGCAGAGGCAAGCCCAGCCCACCCCTAAGCTCAGCCACGGCTGTTCCCGTCCGTCCCGGCTCCGGCCGGATCTGGTTCCTGGCACACAACACGTGTGAGGCACCAGAGCACCGCCCCACACACTCCTGCCAGAGGATTTATCATCAAAAGTCACCTCTCAACCCCACCTGGGCGCTGCCAGCTGRTGAACCCTGAGCCCTGCACGCAAAYAAAGCGGATCCCTGTATCCCCCACCAACAGCAAGTGCCCCGAGCCCGGCACAGACCCCCTTCGCAGGCAACAACACCCCCAAACAATGAACCAAAAACCCCTCAAGGGTCCCGGGTGGGACAAGAAAAGCCCCTGGAGGTGTGTGTCCCCCCGGGAAGGGGCTGATCCACTCCGGAAAGGGGCTTATGCACCCCGGGAAGGGAGAGCTGCACCCCGAGGCTGCAGGGGAGCCGCCCCGCCCGTCCTCCCCGCCAGACCCACTGAGCCCCCGGGCCCATCGAGACCACGACCACCCGTCGGCGTGTGGGCTGCAGGGGAGCCCCGGCGGGAGCTGGGCACGCTCATCGGCGTGGGGCGGACGGCGAGATCCCCCCGCCCGAGGGACSCCCGCCCCTCACCAGGCAGGCGGCCAGGACGGCCCGCAGCGCTTCCAGCCGCTCCTCGTCGCTCTCCTCCTCCCGCAACAGCCCCTCGATGTAGGCGCCGTACACGGCGCGGTCCAGCCCCAGCGCGTCCAGCCGCTCTGCGAGCCAGGCTGGAAACGGCGGCGGGTCCGGCACCGGGATCAGGGCCGCGATCGGGATCGGCGCCGCGGCCGCGGCTGCCCCGCCGGGCGCTGCCATCTTGGGCCTTGGGAGGAGGGGGATGGCGGCCGCGGAGGGACAAACTTGCGGCGCCGGCGGGAGCGGCGGGAGCCGGGGGAGCGGGGGTCGGTGCCGGTGCGGCCGTGCCCGGACGGGAGCGGCGGGACCGGGCGGGCGGCCCGGTGTGCTTGGTGTGTCCCGTGTGCTCCGTGTGCCCCCTGCMCSCCTGGCACAGCTTCCCCTTCCTCCRGAGAGCGGCTTGGCGGGGAGCGGAGCGTCCCTGYGCGGCCGCCGTGCGGGGCGGGGCGGGCGGCGGAATTTAAACACGGACGAGCGGCGGGATCCCCGCAGCTCTGAGCTCCCGGGCAGCGCCATGGCCGGCACGGCCTCCMCACGGCCCCTCCGCGGACAGTCCTTCTACCTCGACCTGCCGAGCGGCCGCAGCGCCCGAGAGCTGGCGGAGGCCATCGGGAGGCTCGGCGGGGTGAGCTGAGGGCCTGAGGGCCGGGCCGGCGGGAGGCTCTGGGCTGAGGGTGACCCGGGGCCGAGGGTGACCCGGGGCCGAGGGTGACCCGGGGCCGAGGGTGACCCGGGGCCTGGGGGTGACCCGGGGCCTGGGGGTGACCCGGGGCCTGGGGGTGACCCGGGGCCTGGGGGTGACCCGGGGCTGCGAGGGCCCTGGCAGTGGGGGGAGGATTAGAGGGTGTCCTGGGGAGGGGGATTTCCCCCTTTTCTCTCTCTCTGCTCTTTTTTTTTTTTTAATGCTTCCTGATTTTCTCACTTTTCGCGACCAAGCTCTCCCTCCCAACATTCCAGGTGGTTCCCGGCCACTGCTCCGGCCAGTGCTGGCGAGCACCGTGGGAGTAATTCCCCGAGAAATTCCCAGCTCCCTGGCCATGGAGGTGCTTCCAGTCACAGCTCCCTGGCCATGGAGGTGCTTCCAGTCACAGCTCCCTGGCCATGGAGGTGCTTCCAGTCACAGGTCACTGGTCACTTCGTCCTGGGAGCGCTTCCCAGGAGTGGGAACTCACTGCCCGCTCACAGGGACACCTCCCAGAGGTGCTAACTGGTTGTGTGGTGAGGGATGCCCCTTCCAGGCAGTGATAAGTAGCTGCCTGGCCAAGGGCACATTTTGCAGGTGGTTGTAACTGGTGCCTGGTTCTCCCTCACCGCTCCCAATGAATCTCCATTCACAGGGATTCTGTAATGGAGCAGAACCAACCCATTCAGCAGCTGAGATTTTGGGCTGCCCAGATCTTTATCATCCTGGGGACTTCAAATCTGAGCCCCGTGACCCTCTGCCTTCTGTGCAGGTTCTGGGAAGCCAAGTCATTATTGGTTTATAATACCATGAGGGTCCCARCTTCTGGGTTTCTACCTCTTGGCCTGGTATCTCCTGTGCAAAGGTTTCATCTCTCTGGTTCCCTCCTGCCCCATTCTCTGTCCAGTTGTTCACTTTCTCCTTCATTTTTCYAGAACCTGTTATGTTCTCCTGAGGACAGAGCTCCTCCAGGCTGATCCATGATGTCCAGGGCATTTTCTTCAGCTGGTGCTTTTTTTTCTAAAAGCACTGCCTGAGGAGGAGGAAGAGGAGGTGGTGACAGAGTCACAGATGTCTGGATCTGAAGTTGTGATTCTATTTGCAGTGAATCTCTAGGGTATCACAGGATCTCCTCCTTTTGGGACACAGCAGTATGGAATGGAAGGAGTGTGATTGCTTCCAGCAGCTCCTCACGGTCTGGAGGTTGAGCCAGGAGCAGTAGCTTTGTTTAACAGGGCTCTGTCAGCTCRGGGTCGGACACTTGCAGAGCTTCTCTGTTCTGTCTCGCTGCAGGTGACCGAAAGCTTCCTCAGCAAAGAAGTCACATGTGTGGTGTCTAGCAACAGAGAGGCCAAGCGAGGCCAGGCCAGGACTCGGGAGGAGAAGCAAAGCAACCCAGCTTCAGAAGGCACAAAATCCACCAGCTCAGTGCTTGCTGCCCCCAAAGGAAACCCAACCAGACCTCGCCAGAAGCTGCCAGACACTGTAAGAGCTCCAAAGGTTTTGGCCACCTCAAAGTTTGGCCCAAGGGGTCTGGTAGGGTAAAATACGGGACCAGTTTTGGAAAGTGAAGCTGTTCCTGCTTCAATGTGAGCAAACATTCTGTGTGTATTTTCCCAGCTCTGCTGTTGCTATTCATGCTCATGTTCCTTGTGACTGCCATCATTGTCTACTCAAATGTGCATGTCACAGCTTTGGGAAGAAAATCTGCTGAAATGGCAGAGGAAGTGGAGAGCTTGGSTGGTATCCTGAGGGAACAGGCAGAGGTGTGGCTAGAAAAGCCAAAGAAATGTAGACAAATAAAACCATTGCAGGCTCTGGGTGCTCACAGACACAGGGCAAGGCTCTGTGAGGAGATCCACAAGGGCGGCCTGCAGGAAGGGGCTTCTCCTGGTCCCATTTACCTATTGRAGCTGGGCTTTCTGCTCACAGCTGCTTGTGGCCAAACTCCAAACATTCCACCTTCAATGTGCTCTCTGCTGGAAGCTGTGACTRGGCAAAGGCAGTTGCCCCAGTCCAGGCCTGGGAAATCTCAGCCAGCTGGAGCTGAACCACCTGCAGTGGGAAACCTGAGCTCCAGAGGTTTCTCACACTTCTTGTCACCTGTCCTGGCTCCCACCCTTGTCTTACAAAGAGCTGAACCGATCTGCTGAGTCCGTTGGCTTGAAAATAAGGCTCTGTGTCCAGGATGTTCTTAACCCCGAGCAGCATGCTGGGATGCCTGGAGAACAGGAGGCTCAGGGGCCCTGATCTATCCACAACCCCCTGACAGGAGATTGTAGCCAGATGGGGCTTGGTCACTTCCCCCAGGTAACAAGTGACAGGACAAGAGGAAACAGCCTCAAGTTGTGCTGGGCAGGTTTAGATCRGAGATTARGGAAAGCTTCTTCWTGGGAAGGGYTGTCCAACCCTGGCACAGGCTGGGTAGTGCTGGAGTCCCCATCCCTGSTGGGATTTAAAAACCATATGGATGTGGCACTTGGGGACAGGRGTCAGTGRTGACCTTGAMAGYGCTGGGGAACAGTTGGACCCGATGACCTTTCAGGGCTTTTCCTGCCTGAACAATTCCATGATGCAGCAGGCACTTTCCAAGCTAAATTGCTGCTTCCTCTTGGCTCGCTCTAGAGTGTTCATTTCCCTGCTGGTCGATAATTCTGAGCCTTGGCCGGAGCTGGTGGTGCAGAGTGAGTGCTGCTCTCTGTGGTTTGCTCTCCCTGGAAAGGCTCTCTCCCACTGGCAGAGAGGAGCCCAGCACAGTGGGGGGATCCCCGGGGATTGTTGCTCTCAGCTCCTTGCTCACCTGCTCGTGTCTCCTCTCTCCAAGGCGCTGCTGAGCCGGGGGAAGGAGCTGCTGCACAAGGCCATGAAGAACCAGGTGAGCAGCCTGAGATGGGCTCTGCTGGGGCTGGGTGTGCTCAGAGTTCTGCTGAGTGGAGCAGAACCAGTGCCAGCCCTCCTGCAGAGCCCCTGCCCTGCTGACAGAGCACATCCTTGGGCTGGGAAAGGCACAAAGCCGTTGCTTGTGGCCTGCAGAATATTGTGTGGTGCTCCTGGTCACTGCTGTTTATGGATTTATGATTACAGTCATCCAGTGTTGTACCTCTAAGGCCTGTCCCAGCCATCTGGGTGCTCAACACAAGAGAATTTTCAACACAAGGCCTGTTGTTAGATGAATTTTTAGCCTAAGAAKAACTAAAACAATGTAGCTGGGCCAACTGACTCCCCTGTAGTCCTTTCCCTGAAGTCACAAGTGGCCAGATAAATCTCAGTGCCCACATAGAAGCTCACGGTGTAGCAGGGATTAAACATTTGCCCTAGATGCTGCTGTTCATTTGGGATAGATAAAGCTTGAGTTTGATCCTTTTCTGCTGTGCCCCGATTTTAACAACAGCCCTTCCATGCTCTGTCGGTTGGGCAGCGGGAAGGGCTCAGAGCTGGGCTGAGAGCTGCACGTGGCCCTGCTTTGAGCTGTGCTTTGCCAAACCTCTCTGTCCAGGACCCCTGCAGTGGCAGCAGCATCCTCGCCAACGCTCGCCTGTGGGGAGTCCAGATCCTGCATGTGGATGGTATCCTTCCTTCGCTGTGGGGTGCAGTGAGGCTGCTGGGAACRAGGGGTTTTGGAGACAGGTGGAGCACGAGTGATGTAAGGAGAGGAGAACAGAAGGAAGAAATTGCAAGTGAATATCCTGGAGCGATGCCATCCTGGCCGAGGCTCTGCCCTCCAACACCAGATTTATTTGTGTGTGTGGAACGTGCCACTGTCACATTTGCAGCAGCAAACACAGGGTGCTTTGTGATAGACCAAAGGTAGAACATTAGGAAATGTCAGTAGCTTGGTCAGTACATCARTTTGTTCCAAAAAGACCGTTTTTACTAATTAACCTGAAAGTACAGATCATGAGAAGAGGAGGATTTAATTAGGAAGTGCTGGTGTTTGAGGACCTGTGCTGGAAGGCACCTCCCGTCCCCATGATGGATGGGGAGGGGGTGATGGGAAAGACAGATGGTGGAACTCTGCTGCTAATAATAGGTCTGGAGTAAAAGGTTCCTGAGTGTCTGATGACAGTGACATACAGCTGTGGCTGAGCCTGTCTGGATCATGTCCCTGKGCTCTGCTMGGCCTGTGGGGCTGCCAGACCTTARGCTCTGYTCTATGTGCTGCAAAACTCCTGTCAGGGYCTCCTTCCYCAGAGCCCCAGCAGCCTCCAGCTCTGCTAGAGAGCAGACAGGGGTGCTGTGCCCCCAAATGTTTGCTTGGCTTCATTTTGGGCCATTCCCTGGGGTGATTCTCCCAGGGGCTGCAGGCATTTCCCGGTGCCCTGGGGCGTGTGCCCCGGTCTGCAGAGGAACAGCTCCCTTCCTTGGCTCRGCTTTGGCTCTTTGACATCCCACCTGCACAGAAATGTTGTCCTACGCCCGGCAGCTGCTGCGAGCCATCTCGGGAGCGAGGAAGCGGTGCCAGAAGACAGAGGTAACAACTTCACTGCAGCCAATTTCAGGAGTTCAGGGTCCCTGGGCAGCTCTGAACAGTCCTTGTAGCAATTTCAGTGCCAATGGGCCACTCAGGAGGGTGCTGGATCCCTTCCAGCATGGGCAATCTGGTGCTCTGTTAGTGATGGAGATGACAAAATTGAAAGAATTTTTCCTTTTATACAGTTGGGGGGGTAAATCCAGATGAAAATGAGGCAGCTGTTGATAACTGGCAACATCCATAACACAGCTCATACTGATTTTGACCCTAACAGTCATGGTTTAACCCCAAGTGGCAACTCAGCCCCCTACAGCCACCCTCTGATCCCATCAGCAGGACGGGGAGAGAATTGGGAGAGAAAAAGTGAGAAAGCTTGTGAATTGAGATAAAGATGGTTTAGTAGGGAGAGCAAAAACCTCTCACACATTCCAAACAAAGGAAGGAGGTGTGGCTGGTACACTGACTTCCCAGGGGATTGGTTAATGCGTTGGAGAGGTCAGGGGGAATGTGGGATGTAAGGTCAGGGTGTGGCAGCCTTTATATTGTGTTCAAACTAGCCCTGGGTAGCTTGGGAGACAAAATGAGGGGAGGTGCTGTCGGTGGTACAGGAGCTCTGAAGTGCTGGGTGAGGCTGCTGCTGCTCTGAGATCAACAACTTCTGCTCTGCCTGYGTTGCTAATGCTAAATATGTCCCTGTTTCCTCTAGGTGAAATGCCCTGCCTCCAGATCCARAATTCACAAAGGTAGGCCTGGAAGTTGTGCTGCTGTTTATGCTCAGAYGTGGAGCTGCTTGGAGAAGCCTCATTTAGAATTTGAAATACATCAAAACCCTTGGCAGTCCCAAAAATATGCCAACTCTTTAGGYAGTTCCCCTTGAATGGGTTCCGTTACTCCTTGTTGGAGTCTGGCTGCAGCCTCCCAGGACAGCTGAGGATCTTTGATTTCACGCTGTGTTTAAAAATCCTAAAAACCCTTTGCTGCCAGCTCCCAGAATCCCGAGGCACCTGAGCACTGTGCTGCTGCACRTTGAATCCAGCAGCTTAAAGGAGGTTTTGAGGAATAATGCATCCTGCAGAGGAGAGCGTGTTCCTCCCAGCCCACTCACTTCTGTTGGGCTGAGCTGTGCTGCTGAGACACCGATCCYGGGGATGGCGCTTCCCAGGGAGGAGGGAGGGGGGAACAGCCAGGTTCTCATCTGCAATTAGACAAGAGCCARTTGTGGGGCTGAGATTGGCACCGGTGACGTCAGTGCATCTGGGGCTTGTTTGACTCGAAACGGTGCGGAGCAGACTCCAGCCTGGGTGGTGTGTGAGACACTGGGGAGTTATTTCCCAGTTTGGGGTGGGGGGAAGGCACTGAGAAAAGGCTCAATCTGCCTCATGCAGCAGCTTCTCATGTCTGCAAAGCTCTGAGCTCTGTGCTGGGCACACTCTGAGCCCGCCCTGGGGTCTCGCAGAGCCGTTTGTCACTGCTGGGTTCACTCAGAACCCGTACACCCATCTGAGCTGGATCTGGGGCCTGCACGTTGCTTCCCTCTCAGAAGTGCTGAGCATTTGGCAGTGTTTTCATGGAAAAAACTTGATCCTGTACTGAAATAGCTGTTTCAGTGACGTAGCAGCACATTTGAGGCAAGTGGAGGGCGAGGCTGGTGAGGACAGGTGGGCTCAGCCTTTCTGGGGAAGGAGGGTGAAATATCTTAGGAAAAAATAGCATTGAAAGCCAGGATCACAAGAAAACAAAACTCCTCGCCCTTCAGAGGCCATGAGGGAGGCGGGAGAGGCTTGGTTTCACAGTCAGGCAGATGCCCTGTGGGAGCACCTTGGTGTTTATTTGTTTCTTAGCCAGATCAGGACTCGGGTTTCCAAGGTGAGCGTAATGTGAGTGGAAAGTACCTGCAGGACAGGAGGGATCTTGGAGCCTCCTCTCGCAGCCTGGCTCTGGAAACCTTTTCCCTCAATGCACTGCTGAGACTCTTTTGCTCCCTTCATCTATTTTATGCCTCTGTAGAAAGCAAAGTGCTCTTTGCCCTCCTTGGGGATGGAGTGAAGGCYAGATACTGCTCTCGAGTGCTGTCCTGGTGCCAGGCTTGGCTGGGCAGCACCTTGGTTTGTCTCCAGCAGCTCTTGCTGCTTTGAYTTCACCATCCTGGCCTGAACCAGGCCAATGAGAACTGCCTCAGTTCTGCATTTCAGGCTCTCAAGGTGAAGGGAGGAAAAGGTTCTGGAAGGGTTGATGCAGATCTCTGAGCTCTGCTGCTGTTTGTGAGCTCCCCTCTCATGCTCACATTATGGGGGGGATGTGTGTGACAGTTGTTGGGATTTGAGGTAGAAGGCTCAGGGTTAGGCCAGTGGCTGTAGAACTGAGGAGGCATTAAAGGTGAGGGGATGGCTGAATATTCCTGCAAAGGTGGAAATGTCCCATAGCTGGGCTGCCTTGGAATTTGGTCACCCCACTGTACACCGGGGGGCAAGGGCTGCTGAAGATCACCCAAAGAGCTGTTTTGGCTGTGCTCAGCCACTACTTGGCATTCACCAGTGCCAGAATTTTTGATGAACTCAGCTCTGGAGCCTAATTCTGTTGTGGAATGATTGACTGAGTAGGGAATTTGGCCAGGAAGACTTCTAACCACGTTTCTCTCTGGCAGGAAAATTGAAGCCCCCTTTTCTGAAGGTTGAAGACCAGAGCAGGTAAATGAAACCTTTCTAAATATCCCACCTTGAAACCTTGAGGTTTCTCCTCAAGGGAGATTGGGATTTCATCCCCACTGACTTCTGCCCGTGAGGCAGAGCCTCTTGCGTGGCTTCTGTGCAGACCCTGYCCCACACTGGGGATTGACTCTCTCCTCGAGGGAGGCAGATGGAGTTGAGAGAAACAATGCAGGTGTCTTGTGTGTCAGGGAGAAAAAAAAAAGGTGTTAAACGAGACTTGACAGCAGTTTCCTTCCTTGCTCRGATTCTGTGTGTGATCCTCAGCAGGTCACTTAATCCACCCGAGCCCTCAGCAGTGAGGATGAGATTTGAAGCACAGGAGGTCAGGGCCTGTAACTTGATGACAGCCTTGGGCATGGGGGACCTGATCCCTGTGGTGTTTCTGAAGGCTCTGTAACTCTACCAGCATCCTCAGGGCTAATTAATTATTCCAAAGGCAACTCAGAGTCAAATATTGGGGTTTACGATGCTGTTTATGAGTGTGAGGGGAAAGATGTGGCCTGGGAAGCAAACCCCTCTTGTGCTGTGGGGTAACTGGAAGTACTGCACTGCTGTGCCCTGGGGCAAAGGGTGGGATTGGGGCTGAGCAGGCAAACTTGCCTTCTGTCCAAAACACACCCTGCTGGAGCTGTCACTGGGTTTAACACTTCCAGTGAGAAATGGGACCYCTGGCACAGCCAAAGGAGAGCATCTTTTGAAGGCAGTGTCCCTCAGAAAAGAGATGGCACCTCGAGCCCCTCTGCATAAGGGACAGCTCTGTAACCGTGCCAGTCCTGCCACAAGTCTGATGTCCTGATCTGCTGCTTTCAGGAAATTCCGKCCCTTCCATCACCAGTTCCAAAGCTTTCCTGACCTCAACTTCCTGGCACCCAAAAGCTCCAGCCCATTTGAGCCTCAGAAAAGCCTCTCCAATTCCTGCCAAGCCAGGTAGGGTATAGCTCCTTCTGGGCAAGTA